ACATATAGACGGTTGCGAAGAGGTTTGATATTTGAAGGGTTTAGAGAAACCACAAAATGAAGACTGAAAGGTTATTATGGAGCATCATATCACCGTGACATCCGGGAAAATTTCAGGCTCTGAATGTTGTAATGATCACAATTTGTTTTCCTTTGATTTCAATGTCATATATGTATTAACTTTGATAAATAGTACTCCCTCCGTCCCAGAATTAACTTCGGTTTTGACTGGGCACGGAGATTAAGAAAGTGGGAAATGTGTGGTGGAGAGTTGTGCAGAGGAGAGAGAAATGTGTAAGAATGGTTGTGAACCACAAATCCTTTGCTAAAAAAGGAAAGAGGAGATAAATTTGGGACGGACCAAAAAGGAAAGAATGAAGATAATTATGGGACGGAGGGAGTATTCATTTATGACTCTTGTGTTAACATTTATTATCAAAGATGTATCTTATTTTGAACTAGGTATTGATAAAACAAATGATTGAAAAATGAGTCAATTTAAAAATCAAGAATGATAGTTTTGTAACAGGCAATAGTCACTGAAACAGGTTAATTTGTAAAGTAAATTTGTCTGTGAAGCACACATGAATTGTTTGGTCACAGGTAATACTCACTAGGACGAGCAAATGAACTAAGTGAAATTGTTTGTGAGCCAGACATGAAGTGTCTGGTCACAGACAATATTCACTGGAATGTGTTATTGTGCAAAGTGAATTTGTCTATGAGACACACATGATTTGTCTGGTCACAAACAATTGCCATTGAGATGAATTAATGTGCTAAGTGAAATTGTTTGTAAACTAGAGATTAAATGTCTGGTCACAAGCAATAACCACTAAAATGACTCAATGACCTAATGTGCTAAGTGATATTGTCTGTGAACCAGATATGAGTTGTCTGGTCACAAGAAATAGCTACTCAAATGACCTAATGTGCTAAGTGAAATTGTCTGTGAACTAGACATTAAATGTCTCATCACATGCAATAGGCACTGGAATGACCTAATGTGCTATGTGATATTGTCTGTGAACCAGACATGAGATGTCTGGTTACAGACAATAGTTACTCTTATGACCTGAATGTGTTTAGGGAATTTGTAATTAGATCAACCAAGTGTTAGTATCTAAAACTGTAAATAGAGATAACAAATGTATAATTTCATTTCATAAATAATCAGTTTTCCACATTTGTTAAGTAGAATGTTATTTACTTATATTGTAAAGTTAATGTTTTTTACCGTATGTATCAAGACAACAATTACGGTAATCACTTTACCACAGGTATTATCATTTAACTATTTTACAACATGCATTTTCTTTTAACAATTTTACAACATGTATCACGCTTTAACTAGTTTACAACATCTTATTTTACAATGTAATAGTGTTTATATTTGGTTTTACTATCAAAGATATATCTTATTTTAAAATAGGTATTGATAAAACAAATGGTGGGAAATCAATTCAAACCAGAAATGAAGTGTCTGACCACAGGCAATACCTATCCGAATAGGCTACTGTGGTAAGTGGTATTGTCTGTGAACCGGACTTAAAGTGTCCTGCCACATGCAAAAGTCACTTGAACATAATTGTCCATTTCTTTGAGCCCTTTGTTGGGACCAAAGTAATATTGAAGAGTAAACATTGTTTAAACACGATTACCACTTAATAGGATATTAACACCAAGCAACAATTAAAACCAAAGCCTATAATTAGCCCCTAGAATGAGAACATATATCTTCCTTAAGATATAATAAACTAAAATAAAAGGGAAATAAAGCAACTCTAACCAATATGCATGATCAATATGTCAACAAACAAGGTCAGAGTCTTATTACATAAGGCAAAAAACACTCTAACAAATAGACTTTTTTCTTTCTAACAAATGGTCTCTCTTTAGAAGTGGCAATTACATCCTTTGTCCGCCTTTTACTACTAGAACTAGCTAAGATATCAAAGTCCAACCACATGTGAGCTAAGACTTTGTGCTTGCCCCATATATATACCGACCAGTAGAAAGAGGTAAACAGCAAGTGAACAATCATAGTAGCTTGCTCACATAAGGTAACACTCCACTGATAGTTGTGCTTGCCCCAATTACAGTTAACACCTCTGAACAAAACCTGATAAGAAAATGAGTAAGTAAAACGATATGCGCCAACGATAATGGAGCACTTCTTAAAAATGTTGTAATGGAATGTTAATACCACATATAATAAACATTATTAGTTAATTAATTAATATCATAATTACAATGACATTCTTACTATGCTTATGTTTCATAAAGTGAGATGTACCAACATCAAGAAACTCATACCACTAAAAGACAGTTATTAAATAGGAATTAAATATGCAGAAACTTTTATATACGGAGTATATAAATAGGACATATAAAAAGTCGATGAGATTTAGTAGAGAAAAATGTCTTAAACAACAATACAGTGACATTCAGGGCCTCACAAAATAAGCTCTTAAATAGCTTCAGGCAGCAATTCTCATCACTTGTGGTTAAACCTCTATTGTTAGGTTCCCAACATGCTGTGTCCCAACCAAGTTTTTTACCAAAGAATGAAGTGCATGGAAAGAAGATTCTTGACATATTATTATGCTTCAATGTTGAATAAAAGAATTCATTCAATCATTTCAACTAAAATGTAATGGGCACACAAATGAAATACGATACTTCAACTATAATTTTAGTAGTTAATGTCACAAACAACCTGCATGTATACAACAATACATTTTTGTCCCATTGCAATTAAGAAGTGGAGCATTATAGAGCTGTCAGCCATTACTCATGATCTCAATTCATTTGATTTGCAATGACATGGTTACGAGTTTCTTAAACACTAATGCACATTAATAAAAACGACAACAAAATCATGAATTTGAACAAAAAGTTCATTGAGTTATTTCAATAAACATGTTATGGGCATAAATGGACTAGAGTAATTATCCTAAAATTTGGATAATTAACACTTCATATCTCTTACAATAAAATAAATTAATCAACTATTCATGATTATAACATACCCAATACAGTGAATAATAAATGTCACCAATCCATAATCATGAAGCCAAATAGTCATCCATTTAACGCTAGTAACATACATATAATCTGAAAAATTAAAAACAAAGATAGCCCTAAAAGAAAAAACATCTAGCCAATTCATAATAATCAAATAATACAATCAACAATTAGTATATCATAGTAAAACTGGAAAGTCGAAAAGATAGTCTAAAACTCATTAGAAACTAATGTACATTAACAAAATAGAGAACAAAATCATGAATTTGAAGAAATTTTTCATTGAGTCATTTTAACAAACATGTTGTGGGCATACAATGAAATAGAGTATTGGGATTAAAATTCCAATAACTAACACCACAATCTTTTGCAATAAAACAAAAATGCAAAGATCTGGGGAAAATTTAAAAAAAGAAAAGAAACCCTAAAATGTATATGGAAAAATTGGAGTAAATTACCTCAATAATGATGACTTTGGGAAGTTCCATCCATCAAGAATATTTCATCATATTATTGTGATAATAAATACGGAGTAAATTAGAAGATGGATGGAGTGAAAATGGTGGAGAAATTAGAGGGAAAAAAGATAAAGAAGTCATGAAGAGAGGAGAGAAAGATGTGAACCAGGAAAGAAAGAGAGTGACGAGTGGGGAGGGGGTTGTGCGGGCAGAGAGAAAAGAAGAGAGAGAGGGTGGAGAAAGTTAATGGGGGAAGAAAGGTAAAAAAAAAATGAAAGGGGAATGGTAATAACAACAATGGTATTTATATGGTGTACAACTTGTGTACAAGTAATGTACACTAAGCATTTCTCTTAATCCAATTGCTTTTACCAAATGGCCTACCCTCAATGGAAACAGTAAAAATGGAGGTCTTAGGAAGAATATTGCGCTTCTACTTCAAAAAGTGATTTTTTAAGTTTGGAGAATGTGGTTAATAGTAAAAATGATAATGTTTAAGAAAAGAGTGTTTCTAAAAAGTAAAAACTTAGAATGTTTGGTAAAATAACGGTTTTTTGGTAATAGAAAACATGAAACAATTTAAAAGATCAATTCACCTGCTTTAATCTTTTATCCATTACCTTTTAAGAACATAAGTTAAGCATTAGCCTTCATTTTAAAACACTCATTTCAATTTTTGAAGTCAAAACGCAAACCCTCCCTGCATCTTGACTACTTTCTAAGTTGGACAAAAAGGTAATCAAAAATGAAGTAAAACAACTCAACAGTCCATATACACAAAACATGATGAGGAACCACATTCATATATGTCATTTAACTTGAATAATCAGTTAATAGTTGATGATTCTTGGCATTTGCGTTAAATCGAATGCCAAGGACAAAGGTTAAATCGAATGATACGTAGCTTTAGATGGACTTGGCATTTGTGTGGTTATGAAGAAAAAAGGTACATAAATAAGTAGATCCAACCATATTAGTCGAATAGCTTTTACCAAATGGCCTATCCTCGATTGAAACATAGTACTCAGTAAAAATGGAGGTAAAGAATGTTTGTGATTGCTTTTATAATTTTTTTTAGTTTGGAGAATGTGATTGATAGAAAAAATTGATAATGTTAAGAAAAGAGTGTCTCTTGAGAAGTAAAAACTAAGAGTGTTTGCTAAAATAAAGATCTTTTAGTAATAGAAAAAGGAAAAACAATTTAAAAAATCTATCCACCTGTTTTTTACTTTTAGCTTTTAGCTTTTAAGAACATAAATAAGTCAGCATTAGTCATAATTTGAACATACTCATTTAAGATTTTTAAGTCAAAAGGGGAAAGCACTTTTTAATTTTAATTTTTGCAAACTCTCCCCTCATCTTGAGAGTGCACGATCCTTGAAACTAACACAAGTATTGCTCTTCTCTATCACCAGTTCACTTGCTCCACTAATTTGACAACTCTTGCAAGTTACAAGTATGAAACGATCTTCGATCTAGTTCAAAATTACGTAGTACTATACTCCGTATAATTCATGCATGGTTCATTTTGGAGTGTTCTTTGTATTTTATTTGTCTTGTTGAATAGTGAAATTGGATTATCTTTATATATATAAAAGCTCAATCGTGACAACCAAAGGACACATCTGGCCATTAAAGATTACACGTGTCATTTGATTATTAAATACAGATTCTACAAAAGCACGCTCAAAAAAATCTTGGCTCATCTCTGAAGCCACCACGTGGCAATACAATAGGGCATGCAAAGTGCACATCATGGGACAGTTACATATCAACCTGCACGAACAAAAAATGCAGTTTATCAGTGCGGTTTTAACCTACTAAACTCAGTATTTATATGCAGCGAGATTAAGAACTTTAGCCATCGAAACTTAGGAGCACGAATATCAGTAAATTTCTACATCCTTACTTTTGTTTCAGAATCATCATAAGATTATCAGAAATATTAAATTTGGTGTATTACTGTTGCCGAGGGTATAGCCTAGGTTCAAGATGTTGTATAACAGGATTCAAGAGCTCAACACTTCAAGGACTAACTGGGCACTTCGTGTTAGGCTGGTTCGTTCTTATGCAGTTCCAGTTTTCGCAAACAAAAACATCATCAACATAATGGAATGCGTGTTTCATGATGCCAAGGTAACTGAAAAACTTATTGTTGTCTGCTGTAAAAAATATTACTTTCAGATAATATAATCAAATTCTTTTTTGAATTCAATAGGGTGACAGAATTCATGACACAATTCGCCGAGAAAGGCTTGAAGCTTTCAAGGACCAGTTAAAAGAAGGAAGGTTTACAGTTTGAGGAACTCTAATTTACAATATTATATAGTTCAATGAATTATGTATGTTTTAAAAAACAGTGTAATGTATTATTATGTAATTCAAAGAGAACTTTGTGCCCTGGTGCAGAATAAGTGACAATACAAACAAGTGAAAAAAAGCTTTTTATAATTAAGTTGATTATGAAACAGACATTATAAAATATCTGATTAAAATAGATATATATAAAACAGATTGTTGTTAATAAATAATCACACCTCAATAAACTGGAACTAAAAGTCTCAAAGCATTTCTTAAAAGATTAAAAAGTAGTTCCTTTATAAAAGCGTATCTCATCACATTCGGTGAACCTACAGAGCATTTCCTTGGTCATTTATGAATGTTTGAACTGAGGTGATAGGCAAAAATAAGATATGGTTAATAGAAAATAGTTTCTATAGATTTAATAAAACATAACCAAAACTGAAGATAACCAAAACTGAAGACACCCAAAAGAAATAAGCTAATAGAAAAAAAATAAATTAAACAACCAAAATCACAAGCTGTCATATTTCAAGTTACTTTCAGTAACCTTTGTTATTATCGTCGTTCCTATAATTTAGATGATATATACAGAGTGATACATTGCATATATTATTCTTCAAAATGAGTAGTTATGTTTATACTCTGTATATAATAAGTTGATCTCGGGGCATTAATATTTAAACTAACTGAAACTTTGAGATCAATTCTTTAAACATACAAATATATATCAATACTGTTTAGGTTGAAATTACAAAAACAATTAAGCACAAGGCATACACAATATTTCAAATGCATCAGCCTCATCGTTAAGTGAAAGGTAATGCATGAGTTACTTTTTAAGGAAAAATAATTAAAAGGATGGAAGAAAACATGCTTATCAGCTGTCTGAGATGAGCGGCGAAGACGTTGGTGTTCGACATCACCATGTGTGTGGCTATCGGTCCATAGAGAACACCAACACTTGAACTTTGCTTATAGAGAGAAGTTAGAGATGAGGGGGACGTTGTCGGCACCGGCGATCGATTATAGAGAGGGAGCGGCGGTTTGGGGAGAAGTGGTGGTAAGAGTATATTGAGGCATGAGCTGACCTAGCTTGGCCGACAAATGAATATTCACGAAAGTCTTTGAAGGCTGGGCTGTGCCGGGCTGGGCTGAGTTAGTGAGTTCCAATAGGCTGGGCTGGGCTGTCCATGTATGGATTGAAGGCTGTCTCGACCTATACTAGGAAATAATTGATTATTAGTGTAGCATTATGTAATAAGAATATAAATAAAAAAGAGAAATTATTAAAATAGTACAAAAACATACAGAAAATTCTAAAACAGGACTAAATAGTACGAACAGGCTCAATATCTCCATAATTAAAGTTATGGATTTTTAGGAGATAAAAAAATGATACTGTGAATAACTACAAAAGTATATTCGTACTGATATTGGTATATGCAAGACTGATTGTGCCTCCAATATCTCCATAATTAAAGTTTTTTCAAATGTCTTTTCTTTGTGTTATAGTCCGTAGTGTATTTAGTTATATATACAACAACTTATTAAATTTTATTGGCAAAGATTAAACATATCTTACATTTGTGTTTTGCTATTTATTTACATATCATAGTCAAAATACTAAATACTTTTGTCCCGTGCATCGCACGGGTACAATACTAGTTAAAGAAATAATGGTCGAAACATTATTATGGAGCTCTTGTGGAAAACTGCAAAAGCGAAATAAAACAACTAAACTGTCATTAAGTGTTTGTCACACAGCAGAAAACTATAAAACTATTGAACATTATATAAAGCTTTTAGTTACTTCTCATATTGTTGACCTTTATGATGAATCTCTGAATCTTAACAATTTTCCATATACACAAAACATCGTGACGAACCACATTCATATTTTGAATATTAGTGTCTCAGACACTAATAATTTGAAAGGATGACGATTGTAAAGTGGATAGTTTTTAACACCCCAATTTTTGTGAGTTAGTTATATGAGTTATATTATGATTGGATGAGTTAAATAAGTTACTTAGCTGGTAAATAATTTAATTCCTGAATAATATGATTTGTTATTTTGTCTTGTGTTATCATTTGTTTTTTTTTTGTGGCAGAAAACGTTGACGGTAAGCTCTAATACTTAATGTGAATAAATATATAAATGGTATTTTAGATTTTATCAGTATATTATTGAAAGTAGAATGTTATAATTCAGTTGGGTTAGAGGCATTTTTTTGAAGACTTAGAGACCGAAATTAATTATATTGGCCTGAATCAATTTTGTTTTTAGTTGACTAGTAGATTCTAATCTAAAAAAATCTCTAAAAATCGTTCTAAAAATTGTTTTTAGTTGGCAGGAATCTACATAGTTGTCAACATGGTTCTAAACATCGTTCTAGGCGCCCGACTAGTCCCCCCCTAGGCGCTAGGCGATAGTCAGGCGCCCCGATTTTAGTCTAGGCGCTCCGACTAATTGATTTGACGCCTAGGTGAATTAGTCGGCCGCCTAATTAAGGCGCCTAACTACCTGCCTAGAGCGCTTAATCGGCCGCCTAGACATCTAGATTTATCGAACATTTTATTTTGCTTTTTATTTTAGTATTCTAAGAGATATATGTATCTTTAACTGTAACCACGTATATGAAGAAAACTACTAGTTGTAGATTAATATAAATGCTATACATGTTCCTATTAGATTTAGTCACGCCTAAACAGTCAACTTTGGAGTTGTTCTAACATGAGTTGTTCTCTTATATAAACAATTATTTTTAAAAATTTAATGAGCTGCTGCAACATGATTTTCGAAATTTGAAGATTTATTTTAAAGTCAATTGGAAGATCACATTTTAATTTGTGCGTATAACAGTAGGAATCTATATTAAAAGTTTTAGCTATGTGCTTGAGTTAAGGATACAGCTAACTTTAGTTAATTATAATGTTAAATCTAAATAAAGATTTCAAGTAAGGGCTTACCGGAAGACGTTATCAAGGTGCCACACTTGTTTGAGTAGTTTGAGTTCAGCTTCTATCAGGTAAGTTCACTACCACCTGTACATGTTTGTTCAACCAAATAAAAGAAAGAAGTCTTGTTGATTTTTAATAGATGATTTTAGTCTATTTGCTATTATGTGAACTTGGTGAGTTATTTGATAAGTTATTTTATTTGTTGTATTAAGTTATGATTATTATCTGGCAAATTCAAGAGTTTGTCAGTATTTTTATTTTCTGATTTAATGATGTTTTTATCCAAACGACACTATAAAAAGAACTAATACTTAAAGTGAAAGATTAAGTGATATGTACTAGGGAACAAGTTCCCACAGAGTTACAGAGTTATCACTTATCAGTTTCAGAGAGTCCGATATGTTTAGTGGGTCGCTCCCCTGAGTTGTCGGATTGGCGCCTTTGAGTACATATCACGGGCCCACAGAGTAAAATTAGCCACAAAGAGTTTTACAGAAAGTTTAATGAGATCTCTTTCAGAAAGTTTTACAGAAAGATGTTTTTGAGATTTCTTTCACAAAGTTTACAGAGATGTTTTGAGAAAGAAATTTTGAGATCTCTCCAGCAGTTGTGAGAAATTATTTTAGAAATTATTTTTCTTTTTGAGATCTCCCTCAGAATGAATTTGAAAAAGTTATGTGTTAGTTATGTGTTCAGTGCATGCTTATAGTCTAAATTTATCTATTGATAAATTGGCCTAGACTTCTAGATATTTTTGTGGAGCCATAGTGACTTACTAAGCGTAAAGCTTATCAATTTTCTTTCTTCGCATGTACAGATACTAAGGGTAAGGCCAATGCCTGGGAAGATGATGAGGGAGTGGAACGCGTGTCAAAATGAGTTAACGGGAACGACCTTGGCGGCTTCTAGCTACTTATTATTTTTATTTCAGTATTTCAGTTGTTATAATAAAGAGATTATTATTTCTTTATTTTATTGTGGATTTGAAGTTTGAATAAATTCCTGGATCCAGGTGGTTATCACATTTGCTAGTAATAACTATATTTTATTGAGTTTTAATTGAGTTTTTATTTGGAGATATATTTGAGTTTTTATCAGGGTTATTTCTTAAACAAATGACCGTTATATTACAGTTTATTTTTAAAAGTAGTGTGCTAGTGTAACGTTCTCTTTAACCCTGAGAGGAGCGTTGTCATTTGTCAATTACTATTTTATGAATTGAATAACAATCTTATCTATTTTCCTTTTGTAGGTGTACACGTTATCTACTAAAAATGATAAGTGCGAGTGATGGTTAGCCTGGCCCTTTTACCGTTTGTGCAGTGCTGATTATCTGTTACCTTCCGTTGCCTTCCGTTTGCTAACGTGGTGTGCTGCCCCCCTCTCATTATTTCTCTCTCAGAATACATCAACTATCTCCTCTTCATACCTAGGTTTCGGCCACCCCCAATGTCTATTTGCAGAAATCTTCCGCTGAAGGAGCCGCCCGGTGTCGACCTTGTATTATGCTGCCCCTGGAGATGCTGTCTGAGTTATGATGGTATGTATAGATGATCACATCTTACTTCGCACATCCATCCATCCGCCCAGTGCACAACAGGAAGCTTCGTTCTATTGGCCTTCGAGGCGTCGTCTTGATATGTTCCTTAATCGACGCTGACCAGAATTTGACGGACCCGATTCCCAAGCTTGATGACAACGACGATGCGAGGTCCATCTAACTTGTGGCAGGTCCCTTTCTAATTTGTGATCACAGAACGATGACAATGGTATGAAGTTTAGGTCTGTGAGTTGCGGTCCTCTGGTCTGTGGGAAGTCCCAATCCGGTTGAATCTCCAAAGGTACAAAAACCAAGTCGTCTGTTTTGCCCTCTCGTATGATACTTTAGGTACGATTTCTCCTATTTTGCATACTGTTGGCTTGGACTTCTATTTATTCAACTTGAAGAAGTACTGTACATCTTCTTCAATACAAACTATTCTTGTTTCATTTTTTATAGAATGTTGTTTTACTTTTGACATATTCTGGAATTAATTGTTAATGATTTTCGTCTCTTAGTTAATTAGGGGGGATTTCCAATTCTTAGTTAGAATTCTTCAATTATTCTATATAAAGAAAAGTTTTTGAAGTTTGGGGGAAGGAAATATGTCCCTGGATGAGCATCTCTCTGCTGGTACTATTGCAGACTTCAGGCTACATGGATTTCTGATTTTTTTTACGAGGTAAGCCTAAAAAGAGCTTCTTTTGGATTTTATTTGGATTTAATATGTGATACGAAACACATTTGTTTCTATATAAGATTAATTTTCATAATCATTCTTACTTCTGATTGTTCTTTGACTATGTTTTTTGTGGGTTTGTGAGGCTTTATATGCCATGTAACTTTAATTATGGAGTATATGTGATATGTGTTTTCTCGCACTTAAAAAGGATGTAGTAAAGTGGTGTAAAGTACGAGTATCGTCTCCACAGGGACGGACAAAAGGGAAATAAAGATTAACTAAACTTTAGCGATTAAAAAGAAATAAATAAAATAAAAGTGCAATTGTGCAAGATTGATGGATTGATTAAACTAAAACTAATGCTAATGAGCGAATAAAAAGATTTGGTTTTCCTTAATTAACGACGAAGGGAACAGGAATTGATTCCGGGGTTAACCTGATTTCTGGCAGAACAGGCCTAATCACATGAATTTAATTTATTTGAGCCTAGCTAATCATTACTAAGTTCTTACCGCTCTCGCGGCGTAGAGTACAATAATTTAGGGGACCAGGCTGATCTCTCATGCGACAGGATCCTAAATTATTGCCAAGACGAGCGAGCTTACGGCCCCTTAATCGCTACTAATCTCTTAGCGAACGATTAAGTGTGTGTGAATGTGTCCTAGAACAAATTAGATCTCTCTTAATTCATTCTATAAGCAATTGTAATTCTAGCTGCAGTCTAGGTTACAAGAGATATCAATTAAATTATTCATACACAAATTAAACGGCATTCATGCAATTAAACCGACAAGAATCCAGCCATCAATCATGATTAACCCCTTCATCAACCCCAAATCCCTAATTAAACTACTCACGCCTCATAATTGACGAATCAACAGAAT